AAAAAAAAAAAAAAAAGTATATTGGCAACAGCACAAACTCAATCAATCCGTGATTGATGGGTGAATCTAAATTCTTTTGACCACATTAGAGTTAATCGAGGATTGGATTTGTTATGATTATGAATGATAGTTAATCATGAATCTTCAACCACACACTCTCCCGAAGTACTCAATTTGTGCTTTGGAAAAAGAAACTTGTCATTGTGTTAGGTTATAATGACCCTTTTGTCCGTCATGCTTTAAACACAACGTTGTGTCACAAATTTTCAACCTCGAACATCAAATTGTTATATTAAAAAGCCTTGAATGGCTTAGATGCTAGATGGGATTTTCCATGTGAGATTGTGGCACAAGACTATTAATCAAAATTGTACCTATGATTTCTCAAATTTTACACACATTCTTTTTTGGTCTACAATTCGTACCATGAGGAGAAAAACTTAAATCATATAATGCGAATAAATATGCCATATATGGTGAAGATGGATGGTTTGAGTTGAAAATACTTTGTAACACAGAGGGCATTGGGAGCAACGACCTAATTCTAGTACGTTAGTAAGCAACCAACCTAGACTTCTAGGAAGATTTCCTTCAAACGTCATATTTTACTAACAAATTAAGCATTATCAATTAAAAATTTCAAAATTCATCGTCGATAGAGGGAGGAAGCAAAACGGAAGTGAAAGGGATCGCCTCAAAGCTTGACTTCTTGGACTCACTACAAACAAATTAAAAGGTCGGCCTAAGATATGGTGACCCTATTTTTGTCTATCCCATATCAAGAGGAAAAGCCAACTTTGCACCGTCGGACCTGCTCACTCAAATATAGAATCAATTTCCCCTTCTTCTTTTATTACTATTTTGATTGAGGATCAATTTCTCCTTTAAAAAGTAAAAATAAGAAGAAAGGGAGATAGAGATTTAGATCCTTGTGTCCCCACTTGTTGGCGTGTTGGTGGTGAATGGAGATTTCAAACCCCACCCATGCCTTGTAAAATTACCCCACCCGGCCCATTCCCGACAATTAGGGAAAAATTTTCATATAACAAACGTAAAACACCTAAAAATAGGGGTCTAAAGAAAGGTTCTAAAGATGATAAAGATGATTTACGTAACACTTTGTTTGTGCGTATATAATTTTTGCAATAATTTATGGAAAAGTTTAAGGATATGTCTGGGTAAAACTTACATGTAAATATAATGTATTTTTTTTTTTAAAGTTTTTTTGTATGTATAATATAAGTAATTAAATATAAAGTATATATGATACAAAAATTACAATAATTAAGTATAATACACAATTTAAAAGAAAACTTATTATTTATGAAAATATATAAAACCCATTACTTGGTTTTTAAATTTTTAATCAATTGACCTAAAGTCTTATTGGCTCTTTTTCATTAAGTTTTTATCATGACAAATATGCAAAAGAAAACAAAATTACTTTACAAACAATTATTAACACAGGAGACACAAAAAACGGGTGCCGTGCTAAACCCTAAAACCCATTGAAGTTATCTAATTTCCTTTGTGCATAATCGCATATGCAACTGGCCATTTTTCTTTGATCCAATTCGTCCACAAAACTTATCCAAATAGGTGGTGTACCTAATTACCAAAGAAAAAGTTGTTTGGCCCCAACCTTTACTTATTTTCTCCTTTATTCTTTTTTTCTTGATTAAGCTAGTATATATTAGGTGGGGAGTTGCAGCCAATAATTTATCTCCATCTTTCCTTTCGTGAGATATGAGGTTTACGGGTGTTGCTGAGTTCTTCCTCAACTTATACGAAACCACAATTTTATTAATTAGGCCTTGAACAAATGAAAATGACACCATGCTCGCAACTTCTAAAAGGCACATAAAACTGATGAATTCTTAACAAATAAAATTGGAAGCACAAATCATGTAAGATTTATGTATAACTAAAATTTAAGATCTAACACTTTTGATTTTGACAACAAAAGATTTAATAAAAGTAAAAAGTTATTCTTTGTTGTAATTTGAATGAATTTTTTGATCTTATCTACTGTTATAAACTAATGCTTGTGATAATATTATGGCTTCTAAGTTTTGCTACTTAGGCCAGGGTTTGCATGTTTCTAAAGAAGCTATATATGTCCAAGTTGTGAGACGATGTTGGAACTTTAATGTGTTTGGTCTAAAGAGTTACCCTTGATTTGATGTGGGTAGATAGTGAACGACAATGGAGTTGTTGGGCTTCAATTCAACCTTTGCAGTCTCAGATTACTTGGGAAGAGGGATGTACCAGTCTCCTCTATGTCAACCAATGATGTTTAGGTGTTTATAGGACCAGGGTCAGTCTAGTGCCTAGACACTGCCGTCCCTACTCGTGTGCCAAATTATTAAAAAAAAAAAAAACATAGGTAAAAAAAATACAACGGTTGAAACTTGAAATCATATATATATATATAAACAACTGTAGAGAAAAATTTGAAAGTCTAGTAGGAAATTCAAGGCGGGTGTAATTATAATGTTGGATGTAATAGGACCAGAGCTACAAAAAGCTTGTGAAAGCTCTTTATATACGTATATGTATAATGGATTTATTTATATATAAATTTTATATATTAAATTTATATAAAATTTTAATTATTTATGTATTTTTT